CCTAGGTATAGGGTAAAAGTCCAGTCAAAGAAAGCAACCCTGGCCCTGACACCAGAGCCGTGTGTGTGTGTGTGTGTGTGTGTGTGTGTGTGTGTGTGTGTGTGTGTGTGTGTGTGTGTGTGTGTGTGTGTGTCCTGAGCAACTGAAACACAAACTAATCAATCCCTGAGCAGGAAAACCAACCAGTCCCTCAACACCCCGACTCTGAACCCAGAGCCTGTGAAAGAAACACACTCAGGATTTGAAACCCTGACCTAAAATTAGAGACAAAAGGCTAAAAAGGAGCAGTGAAAGAAACAATTTGGCCCTGAAATCAGAGGCATCTCTGCCCCTGATCCACTAAACTACCCAATCCCTGAGCAGAAAACTAACCAATCCTGAGCAGAAAAACTTCTCCTTGGGAAAACACCACCCCTAAAAAGCCCTATATAAGCTCCTCTGCCTGTTCAGTTGCTGGAGGTCCTTTCCTACCCTGACAGAGGCAGCCACTCTCCTGGATGCCTCCTTCCCAAATAAGATCTTCATCCTTGGTGGAGAACAAAAGAACTTGCAGGGACGTTAGGAGACAGAGAAGGCTGTGGCAGAGAGGTAACAACTTTTCACCAGAGCTGGAGGAGATTGCTACATTTCTACACCAGTTCCTTTCAGCACACTGTAGGAGATCTCTACTTTTCTACACAGGTTCACCTTCAGCAGATTGTAGCCAAGAAGAGCAGAAGAGGACATTTACTTAGGGGAACAGAGCAGAGCTTAGCTGGAAAAGGCTTGCTAGGGGAGGAGCAGGATAGCTATCTCCTGTGGGGAGACCATCCCCTACCACACCCCAACTTCAGGTAGCCTGGCTTCAGGAAAAGTCAAGACACCTTTCTCTCCAGGGCGGAGCTGTCTTATTGCAGCTCTAGGTAACCTGGCTTCCCGATAAGTCAGGACACCTTTGCTGCTCCAGAGTTGTAACACTCATACTCCCTTACATTTTAGTGCTGAAACCTGCCACTCACTTTTGTCTACACTGGGAACATTTGTTCTGTGGTACACTTACCTTGTTCTCAATGGTTGGTTCACTCAGGTGAGATGGGTCGGCTTGCCCACCATTCCAGCCTCACACTGCCAACCAGGTTGTCACTGTTACCTGAGGCGGTCCAGAGAACTTAAACTTTATTTGACCCCTATTCAAGATGAAAGTTCTATTCAAAATGGCTTCCGTCTGGTTCCTTCTTACAGGCTAACATATCTATCTCCCATTCAGATTTCATTTGTTTGTTTGTTTTTCTAGACAGGTTTTCTCTATAGCTTTGGAACCTGTCCTGGAACTCACTCTGTAGACCAGGCTGGCCTCAAACTCACAGAGACCCGCCTGCCTCTGCCTCCCGAGTGCTGGGATTAAAGGTATGTGCCACCACTGTCTGGCGCAGATATTTTTCTAAACAGGTTTATACACACTTCTTTTCTTTTATTATTTCTTTTCTTCTATGTTCTATTTTTGGGACAGGCTGTCTCTCTATAGCTCGGGCTAACCTCGAATTTAGAAGTTATCAAGAAGACCACCTTGAATTTCTCATCTTCCTGCCTGGACCCGCAAAGTGTTGTGATTATAAGCACATGTTACAGTCCTGGCTGTCCTGAACTCATTTTGTAAGTCAGGCTGGCCTTGAACTCACAAGATCCGCCTCCCAAGTGCTGGGATTAAAGGCATGCGCCACCCCTGCCTGGCTTTCTTTTCTTTTCTCTCCTTCCTTTTTTCTTTTATTTGAGACAGGAGAGATCCTCTTGCCTATGGCCCTAGAGTGCTGAGATTAAAGGTATGTGCCACCATGCTTGTCTCCCTCCAGTAAAATTTAACATCAACACACAGCTTATTAATACAAATAATTAAATATTTATTAATGTCATCATATGCCCTTTTTTTGAGGAAAGGTCTCGTGTAGCCTTTAAACTCACTATTTAACTAAATATAACCTTAAACTTCTGACCCTCCTCCCACCATCTCTAGAGTGCAGTGATCATGGGATTACAGGTTCACACTAACTCAGAACTCACAGCATGATAAATCAGCATTCCACTACCTGAGCTGCATTCCCCAGGCCCTGAATCTCCTTTCTGATACATTAAAATTTATCTTTATCAGATCCTTTTTACTTGTAAAACATGTGTAGCATAACATTCATCATTTCAAGAATTTAAAATATTCACAAAGTACATTCACATTGTTTCTGTTATTACCATTCATCACTAGAGGATATTAAAAAATAAAAAAGAACACCAAAAAAAATTTAATTCCCAGATAGATTGGGGGGATGGAGAGGGGATATCAGCCAAAAACTTGTGTAACTAGTAAAATTGCAGAGCTGGATTAAAGGGAGAACCCTGCTGAACAAATTGGTCCCCTGAAAGAGTCTCCTTTTAATGCAGCAGAGACAAGCAAGGCTTTGGAAAAGTTTAGAGTAAGGAACAAGGACAATTAGCATACATAAACTTGGACTCACACTAGAAATGTAAAAATGTAAACATATATCCTGCAAATCTATTTTTTCAGGGAGTGAAAAGATGACACTTTGAGAATAGTGAAAACAAACTTCATCTCCAACAGACTAAGAAATTCCTGACAGATGCAAACTAAGAGATTTCAGAAATTCTGAGATGTAGCAAGGAGAGGAAGTTTTCCAGTGTATTCAACCCAAGCCAGTGAGCATCTTGCCAAACCCATGTTGATGAGAGGGGTGGCTCTCTCATTCCAAACAGCATCTGCCACGAGTGTTTCTACTTCTTGGCATATGCCTGAAAGAACTAGAAGCAGGGGTTCAAATAGTATTGTACAATAACGTTCATAGTGCCATCATTCACAATGTCCAAAAGGAGAAAACTGGCCAAATGTCCAGAATGGATGAATAAATATGAAGGTGTAGTATATAGCATGCCAGAATATTTTCAGCCTTTACTGATACTATTTAACCTTAATAAAATTCATAAACATCCCATAACATAATGAACCTTGAAGATAATATGCTGAATGAGGTAATCCAGTCATGCAAGGATAGATGGCATATTGTTCCTCTTTTATGAGGTACCTGAAGTGTTCAGATTTACACACAGAGGGGGAAAGGTGGTGGTTAATGGGGCGTGGGAGAAAGGAATGGGGAATAACTATAAAATTGTCCCAAGGTATTAGCTTGGGATTAGATCCTCCTGAAAAAGACTGAATGGTAGTCCTAACCATACAGTTTTTTTCAGCCTCTAGCCACAATCATGCCATGGAATGATAAAACACAGGCATCTTTTGTCTGCTTTAAATTCTTTTTTAAATTTAATATTATGTATATGAGTGTTTTGTCTGCATGTATGTCTGTGAGCACATGCACGCCTGGTGCTCACAGATGATAGATGAGGATGTCATATCCTCTGGATCTGGAGCTAAATACAGTTTGTGCCACCATGTGGGTACTAAGAATCAAGCCTTGGTTCTCTTGGAGGAGCAACTACTACTCTTAACTGTTGGGCCATCTCTCCAGCCCCTACCTAAAATTCTTTTTTACTTATTTATTTTGAGACAAGATTTCATTATGTAGCCTTAGCTGGCCTGGAACTCCTTATATAAATCAGGCTGGTCCTAGAGGTCTCACTGCTTCTGCCTCCTGAATGTTGGGATTAAAAATGTGCACCATCATTCCTGTTACCCAATGTTCTGACAATCCAGAGTCTTGAAAAGCCTTCATCCAGAGTATATGCTTGTCAAGAACATGAATAGGAACATTTACATGCAGGAGATGCCTGTAAGGGAAAGAATGGAAAGTCGGTCATAGTTGCACAATGGACACCACAATGGCAGTAGCTCTAAGGCAGGACCAGCACACCTCGCCTGATTGCAGTGCCCTGGGTTAGATCTTGAGCCTTTCAGCTCCACAGAGCAGTTCACAGAGCAGACAAGTCCCTACCAATGTCAAGGGCTTGCCTCAGCAAGAAGAGCTTTTAATAATGACATGAGCAGGGATTCAGAGTGCTATGCTGCCTGCATCACACCTTCCCCAGCCACCTGCACCACAGACAGGTTTATATAGCCCAGAGGCATTTGCAAAAGAATAAGCTATCTTGAGCTTGGGGACAGGGCAGGGAGGACACCTTAGTGGGTAAAGCTCTAATCATGCAAGCATGAGGACCTGAATTCAAATCCCACAACTCAAGTGAAACTTGGGGACAGTAGCCCATGTCTGATATCCCAGTGTTCTTACAGTAAGATGAAAGGCAGAGACAGAAAAATGCTGGGACATTCACAGGCTAGCTAGCATTGGGAAAACAGCAGAAAACCTATCTCAAACAAGGTGGAAGATGAGGCCAAACACCCAAGGTTATCCTCTGACCACCATACACACACCATTACATGAACCCCCACATACATGGACTTGCACAACATAAAGAAATGTTTAAAATAAACAAATGGGCCAAGCATGGTGGCACACACCTTTAATTCCAACACTTACTCTAGAGGCAAAGGCGATGGCCCTTTGTAAATCGAGATCAGCCTGGTCTATATAACAAGTTCTAGACCAACCAGGGCTACATAAAGAGACCCTATCTCAAAAAAAAATTTTTTTTAAATAAATATGGGCTAACTTGATGGAGTAGAACCAGGTTCTGAGCTATTTTCATAAATTGTAAATGCTTGGGTTTCATTATCTATAGAAAGGTAGATAAGGTTGATCCAAGATTAAAGAAGCCAAGCTGTTATGTGTACCTGGCCCAAGGCACGCCTTATTAGAATAGAAGCACTACCCATGATTCTGGAGAGTTGAGTCTGTAAGACCATAAAATCTCCATCCTCCCTCCCCTCAGCCCACTGTGGTTACAAACTGTTCTGAGGAGCACACTCAGTGCCCAGTTACTCCTAAGCTCCTAAGTGTAAGCAGTTCAAGCAGGTGCATGGGAATGAACAGCCCCAAGTTTTCATTTGCCCCACCCCGAGGGCAGGACCGCAAAAGTGCCCGCCCTTTGCCTTTTATGAAGGAAGTTGTTCAGTCACTCATTCAAAGTAGGGGAACGACCTGGGAAGCGGAATTCGGGACCTGGACCTCCCTGCCTGGAGTGATCTATTAAGATCACTCCGTTTGCGGGTCCTGTCTTCATCTCAGCCCAAATCCCGAGCCGGCCATAGACGTCCTTCCCGCTCTTTCTGTGCACATAACTCCGGGAAGCTCCTGATGTCTTCTGCCAAGTTATGGTGAGTGCGGAGGGAGCCATGGATCCTCAGTCTCCGGCACACCCACCCAGGATACCCTGGGACACACTCGGGGTGGGGGGAGCGCCTTTGTTTTGCTGAGACAGGGGACAAAGCCGGCCCGGGTGGGCAGCGGGGTGGGGGTGGGGGACTGACACGCTGCCCACGCGCAGTCGCGGAGCTTGGGTGGCAGAGATGCGCTAATGTGGAGGTGGGCCCCCTACTGGACGAGAACCTTCTCTCAGGCCCGTTAGTGCCTCGGCGGCCTCTCTCGTGTGCTGTGAAGAATTGAAGAACCCGAAGTTCGTGGGCAAAGGAGGGTTCGGTACAGTGTTCCGTGCACAACACAGAACATGGGGCCACGATGTTGCAGTCAAGATCGTGAACTCGTGAGTGACCCCAGCTGTAGGCAGGATCTAATCCAGGAGCCTGAAGGGGCAGGCGAGGAGGAGGAGGAGGTCTTCGAGGGTCTGACCCAACTGTGGTTCCCTTTCCGAGTGTAGGGAGGTGATATCCAGGGAGGTGAAAGCTATGGCGAATCTGCGTAACCAACACGTGCTGCTCCTGCTGGGGGTCACCGAGAACCTCGAGTGGGACTATGTGTCTGGGCCGGCTCTGGTGACAGGATTCATGGAGAATGGCTCCCTCGCAGGGCTGCTGCAGCCCGCGTGCCCTCGGCCCTGGCCGCTCCTCTGTCGCCTGCTACAGGAGGTGGTACTGGGGATGTGTTACCTGCACAGCTTGAACCCAGTGCTCCTGCACCGGGACCTCAAGCCCTCCAATGTCCTGCTGGACTCAGAGCTCCATGCCAAGGTCAGCCCATCTACACCCCAGTGCAAGCTTGGGACCATGTTGAATACCCTCAGTCTGTCTCTCTGAATACAAGACTACGCAGGTTAACCAGGAATTTTATCTTTAGCCATACCAGGTGACAGAGGCCCTCCTTTACCCACCTGGGTCAGTTCCACAGGCCTATTCCACAAAGTCCCGCACCCCCCCCCCCATGGATCCAGGCTGACTTATCCCAGAAACTCTGATATACTTAGAACCAGCCCTGCCCATGGGCAACTTAGATCTCCTACCAGAGGTCTTATTGACTCTACATTTCCTTCACCCTCCATATACCACCTTCAAAAAGCTGAGGCTGCATCTTCTGGAGGAGACAGAGGGAAGATTCTGGAGAATTATCTGGCCCCCTTCATCTAATACCTCCCTCTTCCTTTCCTTTACAGCTAGCAGATTTTGGCCTGTCCACATTTCAGGGAGGGTCACAGTCAGGGTCAGGGTCCAGGGATCCAGGGGGTACCCTAGCTTACTTGGCCCCAGAGCTATTGGTTAATGTCAACCGGAAAGCTTCCCCAGCCAGTGACGTCTACAGGTAAGCTATCCACTCCAAAACATCCCAAATTTCTGCTCTTATTTGGGCCCTTCTAAAGGATGTGATGTGAGAAAGTGACCTTGCCAGGGGCCAGCTAAGCCTCCATCTTGTGTCTGTACAGCTTTGGGATCCTCGTGTGGTCGGTGCTGGCTGGAAGAGAAGCTGAGTGTAAGACTCTAGATGGATTCTGAGACTCTTACCCCACGTGCCCAAAAGCACCTAAAACCCTGAGCTCTCCCTTTCAACCTTACCTACTCAGCTACCCTCTTCTCCCTGGCCTCTTCCTTGGATGACACCCTGTTTCTGTCCATATGTTTCCTCATGCCATGAATTCCTTTTGTTATCACTCTCCCCTAATCCAGTGGTAGACCAGACATCACTAGTTCAGGATGCAGTCTGTGAAAGGCAGAATCGGCCTCCTTTGACAGAGCTGCCCTCAGCCGGCCCTGAGACTCCTGGCTTGGAAGTACTGAAGGAGTTAATGATGCGTTGCTGGAGTTCTGAGCCCAAGGACAGGCCATCCTTCCAGGGTGAGTTGGCTGTTTCTCTAGCAACTAAGAAAGGCTTGAGTCTTCAGCAGTAAGCTTCACTCAAGAAAAGCTCTGCTCTCATACATCTCACTCGGTTGTCTTTCAGATTGCCGACCAAAAACCAATGATACCTACATCCTGGTACAGGACAAAATAGATGCTGCTGTCTCTGAGGTAAGTTCCCAAAGCCACCTTTCCACCCAGGCGCTATTGAGGGATGGCACATGTGGCTCCCTTGACCATCCAATGTATCTTCACTGCCCATTGTTTTTTAATCCTTGGTCATCATTCTTGCTCACCCCAACCTATCTCTGAGTCTCCCTCCAGGTAACAGATTAGAGATCAAGAAGATATTCCCTGGGGCTTACTCTGGCTCCCCAATTCCTGTCTGTGCAGGTAAAGCAATATCTATCTCAGCGCAGAAACAGCAACAGAAAGTTGTCTGTCCTAGAGCCAGGCCCTAGAGGTACAGAAATGGATGGCCCTGGGGAAAGCACAATTTCTGAAATGCTGAACCATCTGCAACTGAAGGGGTCCCTCAGTCCAGTCCCTGAAAAGGGTGTACACCTTACTGAGAGGGGAAGAACACAGGAAGAACCCACTGGCCATGCCACATCAGCAGTGACATCTTCAGATCCAGTGGCTGGAATTCCTCAAATGCCACCCTTCAGAGGCCCAACACCCAGCCCAAACTCTGCTGAGACTCCAGGTCCTAACCCACAAAGGAATCAGGTGAGTCACTGGCAAGAGTAGAGTATAGCCCCCTTACCAAAGAAAACTTAGGGTTGAAGTAGCCTCTTGAGTAGAAAGCCTGAAAACGCTGTGCTCTTTGCAGGGAGATGGAAGACATGACACCCATTGGTCCTCCTGGACCCCAGGGCCAAATCCAGCAGCAGGTACCGGTTCTTCACCCTCTATTGCTCTCCCTTTGCTCAACTTTCCCATCACCTTCATCCTCAACACCAATATATAGAGTTACGTTGAAGGGGGAAGAAAGGACTAGAGACCACCTAACCCAACCTCATTTAATACATGATGACCTTGACACCCAGAAGGAGAGAATACCACTGAGGCCACACAACAAAACCTGGATATGCCTGCTCCAGGGTCTGCTAAGGCAGTCCAGAGGGTCCTCCATCAGAGACCCACACAGCAGCATGATTCCTTCTACAAGACTAACTGCAGAGGCACAGCTCACAGTCACTGGCAGGCTAAGACCCTGCATATGCACTCCCCAGGGTGAATACAAGGTGCTGCTGACCCTCTCCCCAAAGTGCTGGGGAAACTCCTCTTCCTAACCACTGAACCCTCCCACCACCACCTTCTTTTCTCTTAAAGGGCCATTGCCATCTGTGACCCTCAACAACTGTTCGGCAGTGCAGATTGGAAACTACAACTACTTGACAGCCCAACCAAGAACTGCTTTGCCCAAGAAAGGCCCAACACAGTGTGGCAGGGGCAGGGGCTGGTAGCCCCTCCACAAGTAAATCTCAGGGGACACCTGCAAGAGCCTGAAGTCTGGAGCACCCAGCACTGTTTAGGCAACAGCACAATTATAGTGGAAAATAAAGCACTTTGTAAGCAAGCTGGAATGGCTAAGACAATCATCGCCTCTTCCTGCAGCCCACAAAGTTCTTTGCGAGCATTTAAGCCTACACCCAAATTGACTTTTGACCTCTCTCCCAAAAGTCAATAAATACAATATGTTAACTACAGAGAGTCTGAGGTGTCAAACCAGGGAGAAGGACAGACAACCAGGAGCTGGCCACGGGGGAGTGGGGGGGGGGGGTGCTACCATCAGGCCAAAGCAGGAAGAAGGGCTCTGGGGACTAGTTTTATAGGCAACCTCTTGGCATATAAGGTCAGGGCCCAGCCGGTGGCAGGAAGGAATTACAGAGCCTTGGCTCTCTGGTGCTCCAATCTCAGGGTGGAGCGCTTCCTTCAGCACTCAGGACCGAAGCCACCCTAAGCCTGAAGTGATAGGACAGAAGTTACAGCCTCGCCACTCCCCTTTTCTCCTTGATTTTGAGCGCTGGGCTTTAGGGCCCTGGTATAGGAGGGTCTCTGGAAAATCAAAGGTGTCCCGGGCTCTCTAGGCCATCCTACTCCCGCTGCCCAGACTTGATGCACCTTGCTTTCTAGGCAGGAGAGCATCTTTGATTCTCTGTACCCAAGAACTGATAACTATGTCCAACAAAGAGGAGCACCAACCCAAGGGGCTGCAGAGGGCTGCAGTTTGGACAGTTCACACTTGGCCACACTTAAGGGATCAAAAGTGGAAGGGAAATGCCACCTCTGTCCTCACCCACACCCCAGCCGGTACCAGGACAGTACTCCCAGCAGCCTCCTCGTTCCCAAATATTGTCTCTTTATCTTGATCTCTTAGCCCTCTCCAGTACCTAGTGTTTCTCCACAGCCCACGTGCTCTTCATTGAAGACAGAGTGAAGGTAGTGGTGAGAAAACACAATCGGAGCGTGGGAGGCATCCAGGGGAGTCCGGCTCAGCACGGGAAGGGGCTGGACTGTACGGTGGGGAAGTGGGAGGGGGCCTCGGCGCCAAGAGGGAAGCGCCAGTCGCCAGTCGCCAGTCGCCAGTCGCCTGCCGCCCTGAGCCACTAGCAAAGCCCAGAGGGTGAGTAGCAGCCTGCCTACCCAGGCTCCTTCTCCGGGGTCCGGGTCCGGGGCCTAGCTTTGCTGAGAGAGCTTCAGGAGCTTAACACAAAGCAGTGAGTTGATGGGTGGAGGGAGACTCTGGGGGCTCCGGTGAGACTTTTGCTAGGGCACTCCCACAGTGTGCTTTGTGGGAAGGATGGAGAAGTCCTGTCACATCCAGCTGAGAGACCTCTGAGAGAGCACCTGGAAGGGAATCCTATTGCTTTGGAAAGCTTGGGGGCTGGGGTCGGAGTGGCTTCAAGAAAGGCAGAAAAACGCAGTGATATGGGCGGGCGGGCGGAGGGCGGGCTTATTAACTGAGTGCCCTGCGGTCCCCAGAGCAGGGGCTCTAGGCTGGGGCGGGGAAGACCATGGCCCGCCTCTTCAGCCCCCGGCCGCCCCCCAGCGAAGATCTCTTCTATGAGACCTACTACAGCCTGAGCCAACAGTACCCACTGCTACTACTGCTTCTGGTCATCGTGCTCTGCACGCTCGTGGCACTGCCAGCCGTCGCCTGGGCCAGCGGCAGGGTGAGATGGACTAGGTCGGGAGCCTTCCTAGGCAGGGGCCGCCTTGGGCTGGGGACATTTGAAGGGCTGGGATTTGAGGGGTCTTTTAGTTAATAATGTCTTTGTTGGGAAACGGAAAAGAAGCATTAAACCTCGCTGTGAAATGCTGTGACTCTGGGCACATGTGACAAAACCCTCTTCCCTCTGGGCTTGTTCCCTGACTCTGTACTGGGAGGTGAGTGAGTCCCGGATGCATCTCACCATTCTTCTGGTTCTACGGTAAATCCAACACCGGATTTTCCAGTTTTCCAGAGAGGAAACTACTCAAGTCCCTAGGGGAATTCATTTCCTGACTTTTTCTCTCCAGTTTTGGGAATGAAGCTGTTAGCTGTGCCCACCGACTTCCAAAAGGCGGTTTTCAGCACTGTGGTTTAGCTGCTCTTCGTTAGCCCCCCCCCCCAAAAAAAATTAACTTTCATGTTGGGCAGGAAGGGGTCTTCAATTCCAAATCTGGAAATACGCTGCTCCCGGTTTTCCTTTTATTCTTTGGAGGCAATGTGGGAAAAATGCCTGAACCTGCTAATCCTTCTCTACCCCAAGTCCAGGACAAGTGGGAATAAAGGGTAGGGATAGCAATTGGACTTCCAGGCTAGAGGAAAGGCAGGTATTCAGAGCTCAGTGCTTGGGTGGCAAGGAGGTACAGAAACTTGGGCTGCCTGACTAAACATTTGTGGAGTTTAGCGCCATGGCTTCAGGAGAGAGGACTCTCCTAAGCAAACTAGCCCTTTGAGTGACATTCACTCTGAATCCCAAGCATGTGCTACAGTCCCCCTTCAACAGATAGGAACTATGGGAACAGCCAGGCAAGTCTGGGAGATAGTGAGTTGGAGGCCTGTCCAGGTGACATGAGACCCTGCCTCAAAACTGAAAGAACAAACTGATTCAGAAAGAGGGTGAGAGACATTAGGTTGAACCATGTGAGGCTGCTGAACTTCATGGATAAAACCAGTAGGGTTTCAGCTACTTTTTAGGTTCCATCTAAAGTGAAAAGGCAAGCCGTGCTGGTTCTTTATTTAGGTGTGTGTATATGAGTATGTGTGAGTGTAAGTGTGTTGTGTGTCTGTGTGTGTATACTTGAGTGCACACATGTGGAGGTCAAAAGACAACTCAAAAGAGTGAGTTTTCTTCTCTCACCACGTGGACTCTGGGAACCAAACCAGACCATGGGGTTTGGTGGCAAGCCCCCTTACCCACTGTGCCATCTCACCGGCCCCACTTTCTTTTTGTGCATGTGTTTAAGACACTTTACAGAACTGATCTGAAGGGCGTCTATCTAACTTGCTCCCTCTCACCTTGAGAAAACTCCAAAGCATCTCATCCTAGTCTTCCTTCATGCATGCTTTCTCCACAGGAGCTGACCTCAGACCCAAGCTTCCTGACAATGGTGCTGTGTGCTTTGGGTGGCTTCTCTCTGCTGTTGGGGCTGGCTTCCCGAGAGCAGCGACTGCAGCGCTGGACACGGCCTCTTTCTGGCCTCATATGGGCTGCACTGCTGGCTCTAGGCCATGGATTCCTGTTCACTGGGGGTGTGGTGAGCGCCTGGGACCAGGTGAGGAGAGTCACAGTCAGGGGCCTGGGGATCCAGGCCCTGTGCAGTGAATCCCAGGCTTCAGGGTCCCACACCCTTTTCCAGGTGTCATTTTTCCTCTTCATCATCTTCACTGTGTACTCCATGTTGCCCCTGGGCATGCGGGATGCTGCTGTTGCAGGCCTCACATCATCACTCTCGCATCTGCTGGTCCTTGGACTGTACCTTGGGTGGCAGCCTGACTCACAGAGGAATCTGCTACCACAGGTAAAAATGCAATAGTAACCGAATGGTGCCCTATGCCTTTAATCCAGCACTTGGAAGGCAGAGGCAGTCTGGTCTACAAAGCGAGTTTCAGGACAGCCAGGATTGTTACACAGAGAAACCATGTCTCAAAAAAGCAAAAGTGCAGGTAATATTCCACAGCTGGCTCAGTTGCTTGATAAAAATTCTGTAGGTTTCCTGATCTGGGTCTCCAAGGCAGGGCTCAAGCCTGAGTGCCAGAGCTAACAGATAAAGCTCTATAGTGACCTTTTGGGGCTGAAACATCAGTGCACCATGCCTGCCTTTACCAGAAGAGGGCTCTATAGCCATGGGGAAATCAGCCATGATTTTCCCACAGGTACAGAAGTAAAAAGTGGAAAATGTGATTAGAACTTCAGTAGTTTCTTGCAGATGGAATGGGCTCAGGAGGTCAATGTGGTGGAATAATGTTCTTGGAGAAGAAATATACATGCAAGACATCTAGACCTAAGTAGCCAGGTTAGCCCAACAGCCAAGAGTCTATAGCAGAGAGCGTAGAAGAGGAAAAGGACCAGTTCTCCCCCATGGATGTCATAGTATAGCACCAATTGTCTAGAGATACTTAGATCGCTATCTGTAGAGCCAGGCTTTCCTTATTCTGTTCTTAGAACCAACTCGAACTCCACAGATAGACTCTCCTGGTCCGCCCCTCCTTCCCCCATGCCCCCCCCCAGGTGTACTTTTCAAGCCTGGCCTTCACCCACAGTTGGCAGCAAATGCGGTGTTGTTTCTCTGTGGGAATGTGGTGGGAGCATACCACAAGGCCTTGATGGAGCGAGCATTGCGTGCCACCTTCAGAGAGGCTCTCAGCTCTCTTCACTCACGCCGGAGGTTGGACACTGAGAAAAAGCATCAGGTCAGTGAGACCTAAGAGGCAGGAGGGGGACAGCAGCTCAGAAAGAACGGCTTTTTAACACCTTCATGTGGAGTGGGTTTGGGTGATCTCTTTGCCTTTCTCAAGCATTTCCTATTTTATATAACATGTGACTAACACCCACCCCTGGAAGATGGTTGCTAGTTTCAAATTGAAGTCCAGTTAGATAGCTGAGCTGCATAAACCTGAAGCCATGAGTTCAATTCCTGGAGCCTAAGTAAAGGTAGATGGAGACAACTGTCCCCACAAAGCCGGCCCCTGACATCCTCACACACACTGTGCCCAAATACACATGCATCATGAGATAATAATAAAATTAAAGCTTAGTCAGCTATGACGGTATACACCTTTAATGCCTGCTTTTAGGAGGGAAAAGCAAACATATACCTGTGAGTTTGAGGCCACCCTGGTTTAGTGAGTTTCAGGCCAGCCAGGGCTCCAAAGTATGATACCATCTCAAAATAATAATAATAATAATAACAAATGATGATAATGATAATGAGAGTTATTAAAGGAAGATTTCCATTTTGGTGTTGATACCGGCAATGTGCAGGAGTCTGAGTAATTTGGAAAGCTCAGGCTCTTGGTGATAGGGCCCAGGAAGCTGGGAGGGGTGTTATCAGAGGGACTTTCTCCAGGAGCACCTCCTTTTGTCCATCCTTCCTGCCTACCTGGCCCGAGAGATGAAAGCGGAGATCATGGCACGGCTGCAGGCTGGGCAGGGATCACGGCCAGAGAACACGAACAACTTTCACAGCCTGTATGTCAAGAGACACCAAGGAGTCAG